CCAATTTTGCGACCAGAGGAATATGTATAATACACATTGCACAGACGAACAGTCGGACATATATATTGCCAGTAGAAAAAAAAGACAAACAAGAAATGAAAGTTTGTATTTATTTGTGTTAGGAGGTAAGATATTAATGATCTAATTCTATGTTAAAAAATTTGCCACTTATGTTGAACCGGTCAGAAGTGAAAAAAATGAATTTTGTAACTGAAATGGCAGACGAGTGCTAGCAAAAGTAATTTGCTATATTAAAATTTATTATTATATATTTCATATCGTTCCATCAATGTTATTTAAAAAAAAATTCTTCGATGACAAGTAAAAGAGTATAGCCGTTTAGGACCAAACTTGTTTACTCAAAAACGGGGAGCTTACTTCGGTATTGGATATAAAATTAAACTGCTTAGCTTTTCAAATGACAAAATGAAGTTGTAGTGGTGCTTGCATAAAGGTACAACATCAAAATACCATCTACAAACGGCGCACTTGCATGAGTTGTGATCAAAATATCTACACATCTTACAAACGACCTAAGTGTCAATAAATGCGCGTTTCTGTGGAGGATACAAGCATAGCGTACAATTATGTATATAGTAATTATGTTTACATTAAATTATTAATTATTAATTTGTTTCCTTTCATGAATTACGGCTCCCGTTATCAAGAGTCAACCTTATGTTGCATCTCCACACAAAAAAAATAATATAAATTTTAATAAATTATTAAAACATACCTATCGGTATGTTCATGTCCAACAGCGGTATTTAAGTATTTAATATAAATGTAAAAAAATAAAGTTCAGTTACTCTCAATCTGACCAAATTCAAGCAGGCTCTCAATGCAACCAAATTCAATTACTCTCAATCTGTATTAGTATTAGTTAGAGTATTTAGTTTTAGTTTAGAGCTTTTTTTGTGTCTGCTTCTGATGAAATTCAATGAAATTGGTCTACGTAGGAGAGCTGGCAAATAAAAAAGGCAGACACAAAGTATAGCTTATAAACTATCTACGGCATGTATTTGTATACCTTACGAAAACGAAAGTAAACCTACGCTCTTTTGTTGAATAAAAATACACAGAACTGGATTTTTTCAAATAAATTTCAGTATATTTTCAACTTACTTTACTAATTTATCAATTCAAAGCGTTTGTTTACACTGGAGAACTCTATGAATATCTTCTCTTTCCTGCTCTTTCTCGCTCTTTGTCACATTACTTTCACTCTCGGTTATGAGAGCCCTCGTCTTCTTGCTCTCTCTCCCACTCTCTCTCTCTGGAATAAACCGCAACCACAGCTGATATCATTTTTTTTCAAGCAGATTTTTTCAGTCAGATATTGTTTGTGTTTTTACGTGTTACTTACTCGACTTACTTGTAATTGCGAAAAAGTTAATTGTTTTCGATAAATTGTTTGCTTTTTTTTCCTTACGGCTAACTGTATTTCAATCATACATTCAGATCCAAACAGAATTTAACCATCGAACGTTGTGTATTTTCAAACTAATGAACAAATCAATTATTGCTAAAAATAAATAAAAAAGTATAACAGCATTTGTTGTGCATGAAAAGTGGCTAAAAGTGAAACACATTTTGTTTTAAATATTTTTGCAGATACTCCAGCAGATAATATGGCAAATTACGATGATGTGAGTAGCACGGGAGAGATTTGGAAATTTCGTAACATTTGCGTCTTTTTTTATAAGCAATTAATTGTAATTTTTTATGATTGCATAGTGATAGTACTCTTTTTCGTTTTTTTTTTCTTCCTTTCTGTGTGCTTATTTTTATGTAAATACCATTTCGTAACCTGGGTTAACTTTACCAACCAACAAAAACAATAAACATAATAATTGTTTATATGCAGTTGTTGCACAGATGCCGCACAGCTTTTGCGAGTGGAAAAACAAGAGATGTCAGTTTCAGGTAAGTTTATTGCAACAAAACCAACGCATACACGCAAATATGCACAAATGGCTTTGCTTAATAAGAGAAATGAAAACTGGAAGAAGACATGTTTAAAAAAGTTTTCATCGGAAAAAGCTTGTAATATTAAAAGAAGTTGCAATTTTTTGTCCCACTGTTTACAACATCAATTAACTCGAAAACATATTTGCGATAAACACGCAAGTATATATTACATTAGAAATAATTTAGAGTTGCCATTAATTGCGAAAGAAAATTTCAAAAAGAAAAACTTTATATAACGGTTTATATTGAAATGTAGTAAAGCAGGGTTGCTACAAAGTTATCAGTATTCTTTCTACGATATGACCAGTCACTCAGAGAATGTAGTCTGAATTTGGTAACAATTGAGAAGGATTGAAAGAGCGAGTCTGAATTTGGTGACAACCTATTGTATTGAAAAAGCGAATCGCCTATTCGCGTAATACGTGGACGGTGAGAAAGAAATGAGAAAAGAGATAGGGGAGCGGTCGCAACCTAGGGGTGCGGGTAAGTGCCCAACTGAGCACTCACTATAACAATCACCAAAGTAAACTCTACTTCATAGAGATTTGAACTCCCGAATTGAGGCATGATAGTAGTCTTGCCTAGTCGGTTACTCACGCGGATAACAAAAAGGGCCAGATTAATAGCCGTTTTGGTTATTCTTCACTTCTTTTTCTCTTATTAAGCGGCACAATACCGCGCCGCAAACATTGAAAAGTTTTTGTTACAAATACGGTCCTTACGTATTAGTCTTATTTTCAAAACTCAGATTTTTTAGAATATTTCCCAACAACATTGGAGCAACATTCTTCTTTCTTAATTTATTTATGAAATGTTAGCTCACGTACTGAAATGAAGTTTCTAAGTGATGATACAAAAACCGTTTTTCAAGCAAACTCTTCTTTGGCATCTTATCACCGTACCGTACCTTGAAGCAAACATGGTTAAGATATGGTTTTTATATGGCCGACCTTTGTGTCTACCTTTAATTTGTAAAAAAAAAATTGTGCCGATTTTGGTGAAATATTACTAGTATTTCTTTAGAAATCGTTTGCATAATCCGTTCTAGTGACAAAGAATTAAAAATTCGCATGTGTTTCACGAGAAAATCTTTCAAGGAAATATTGATCTTTCAGCAAATCAGATTTTTAAAAGTCGATCACAGCATCCGCTCAAGCGAAAAACTTGGAAAATTCGCATGTGTTTCACGAAAGTATCTTGCCTCTAAGTTACAATTCAAATTTGAAATCAATCGCTTGCCAAGACAGTTAGCTCGAAAAATATATAAAGAAAATTACTAAAGTCTTATGTGCAGCTTTAGTTTTAAGTAACCGAGTAATAGTTTTAAATATCGAATCTTTAAGTCAAGCAAAAGTAGAGACCCGTCATAACACCGTTTGGATATGATTCACGAATATTTAAGAGACAGTTGAAGATAAAAAAAAAGAAGAAAATTACTCAGTAGCATTGTACCTTAAGGTCGCTTTACTTTCGGCGGTGTCATTTACTTTCGCTTATTGTGCCACTTTCAAGAATTTTTCATGTATTGTGCCACTTTCGAGAATGAGCGCATATTCGTTCTCAATAATTTAACAGGTTTTGTAAAAAAGCCAACCACCTGAGAGAATAAGCGTATATTCTCAATAATTTGTATACAAATTCCAAACAACTGAGAATGTTTGAATAAATTTGTTTAATCAGAAAATAATCCTACAGGTGTCTTGATTATGAGGCTTGTGTGTTTAAGATGTTGGGAAAATGGAACTTTCCATAACCAAAATCATAACCAAAACATTACATATAAAAACGTTTATAAACATTTTTAAACATGAACCGAACTTGCAGAGTGGTTTCATATTCCTTGTAGAAACCGCAATACAAAGTTCGCCCTACGTAAAAAACTGGACACCTGTATCTTTATTTAGTTTTGTAAGGGACTTTATTACACACAGATTTCATTAATGATTATTAAATGCCAACTGTAAAAGAAGTTCGTTTTGAAAGGTTTTCTTAATATTATCGAGTTCGGAAAACTGAGAAAATGTAAACGACGAGTTTGTTATTTTTGCCTTCATCTGAGTTTTCTTCAGCCGCATTAATATTCTTTAGTTAGAGGTGCACGAAGGATGGCAAAGCCCTGTCTAAGTTTTGATAGACGAAAAGGTTCAGTTAGACTAAAGCAAGCCTAACTTGAAATTAAAATGAAACGAATAATTTAATAGGAGAAGGACTTGAAGAGTAGAATGCATCAATTCTGAACTAAATATCGCTGACGTCACGTTGATAAGCGTATGTAAAAGATTCGGCTGCGGCGGAATATAGTTTTCTTGTTTAATTATAATTAATAATATTAACTTAATAAGAGTAATTAAATTGAAAATTTAAATATTCATTTACCGATTCCGCCTGCGACACTGCCATAACAACTTTAGTTGTTAACTTTATTTGTTAATGTCTACGCATGCGGATTAACATCAATCAATGCGAAATATTTAATTATTCAGACCAATGTTTATTAAGTGTGCTTCCCCTTCAACACCGTTTTCGTTGACTACCACAATATGACAACGCATAATGTATGACATTGTGGTTAAAATATGATCTAGTTTTAAAAGCTTCATCCCAATAAGCAGAGGGGTTTCAAAGGCTACCTTAATAATAGTAATAATAAAGCCATAAGTTATGTTACATAGAAAAGAAGCGAACACAAGCCACTCCATACAATGAAATGTTATCAAGCTTTATCAATCCAGGTTACCAATCGCGCGTTCATAGCGCGTTCACAAATTCACAATGTAACCATGAAAAGATAAATCCCTAAAGTTTATAAATGTCATAAACAGCTTAGTAATTATTATTGCTTACTTATTACACACATATATACTGCAATTAACCTTTTACCTGAAAGGAATTTGAAGTGTATTTCATGAAAGAGTAACACATGAAACGTAGAAACTGTTGTTTTACGTGACTTACAAATATATTACATAAATTATAAAGCAACGTTAGTAAGGGCGATTAATTAATAAACCTCAGTTTATATTCAGTTGATACATGTATAGTAAGAAATTAAATATTATAGGCAACGTTGCACATAGTTTGCAAATTGCAAAACAAAATTAAATGAATTAATGATACATATATAAGATAATAATGATACATATATTGGGCGGCCCAGAATATACCCAATTTGTGAATTTGCTGCCATTTGCGCGGTAAAGTGCTGGCAAGTCAAAAAAAAAAAGTTTGAGAGTTGCCTGTTTAGGGTTACTAAAAGCCTGGAGTCCTGCACGAGACACAATTTTGTGTTGGACGCATCATTGGGCCTTACTTCTTCGAAACTGAGGCTGTTCAAGCAATGATGACGATATGGATGCGAGCGACGTGACGGTGTCATATGCCATCTCGTGAAAAATTTCAATTACTGCATGAGGTATTCCCTGATCGTGTACTCTCTCGTTCCGGTGATCTGTATCATGGAGGTGGCGGCCAGTTGCCCGGTGTGCTATGCTACCTTACGTGCATTACGATTCAGTAAAAAAATCACATCAATTCCGGGACATCCTATATATTGGCCAATTAGAAGTTCACGTTTTAGCTCTTCCAGGATTTCGAATAATTTCGCATATGAAACGTTAAGAATAATTTCTCCTATATTAGCAATTGGCTTATTATTAATAATTATTGCGGTTCGAAGTATATAAGCCTTTAAAATTAGTTAAATATCGTAATTTAAATGGAGCGGTGTGTGGATCTAAGACGAGTTATTTCTGTAACTTCAAATTATATAAGGAAAAGGCAGCAATCTGCAGAATACTATAACTGGAATATTGGCATCATCTTTCAACTTGTGGTATAATATTTCAGAATCTATGGTACCGTCGAAATAGGCAGTACACCATTTGTCACACTAAAACAAATTAAGCTGAACGTGAATGAATGTGTATAAGATAAGAAAGTCACGATGATTTCAACAGGCCACCAAGTTTTTAGTTATTTCGAATCTTCCCCCGGTACCAGAGAAACTTTCAATGCAAGCATCAGCGGCAGGTGACACGCTTAAATTCTTTAATGACTGGAAGCTGACTTCATTTTTGAAAGCGTAAATGTCGCTCGTTGCTATCGCTAGTCAAGTTTACAGCAATCATTGAGCACTATAACCATGCAAATTGGATCTGGACTTAATAATTTTGGCTCAGTTCGTGCAGCAGGTAAAGACCGCTAATGCTTCCGTACATGTCGGCAAAGTGTTCGTTGCTCATGTAGGGCGTAGCTTAGCTTGATAACTAACTCCAAGGGCATAACAGCCACAAAATTTCGTGTTTGAGATAAGTCTGAGCTGTCAAGTGTTTGCATAGGCCTTTGCCTTTCCTAATGGCAATGATTAATAATCATGTGATTAAATTAATGATTAAAATTGAAAGAAAATTTGTTTTCATTTCTTTACCCAAAAAAACTTGCAGAACGTCTCGTCCATGCTTTCAATTAGAAACTTATGCATATCCACGAGTGCTTTACGTGCTCAATGAAATGAAGCCTATATAGATTAAATATTTTACCATAATTAACGATTTTGACATTGGCCTTCGTTTACCATAATAATTTGTAAGCAATAAATAGTTGTGTGTGGGCATATATTTGCGAACATACAATCAAACTGCGTACGTACGTCGTATTAATTTTTGATGTTACAGCGAAACTTTGTATCACTTATTTTTAACAAAATTATGAATTGTGTTTTTAAATGCCTTCCTTTCATTAGGAAACGTCAACTAAAGAATCTACTGCGGATGTATGAAGAAAATGAAACTGAGATGATAAATGCCTTGGATGCCGATTTGCGGCGTCCTAAACAAGAAAGCCTTGTGGTCGAAACGGAATTTATGAAAAATGATGTACTAAACATTATTTATAATATCGATGATTGGGTTAAGCCGGAGAAACCGCCCAAAGCGTTAGCCAATGCTTTAGACAATTTAGAAATCTATCACGATCCGTATGGAGTAGTTTTAGTAATTGGCGCTTGGAATTATCCGTTACAATTGCTATTGGTACCAGTTGCGGCTGCTATAGCAGCCGGTAATTGTGTGATTTTAAAGCCCAGTGAATTAGCAGCGAATTGCGCGAAATTTGTACAAGAAACCATACCAAAGTATTTGGATAATGTGAGTTTTAACGCATTGTTGTGCTCGAATGTAGTCGCATAAATGTCTTTATAAACTTTTAAGGAATGTTATCCTGTGGTATGTGGCGGTCATGAGGAAACTGCTGAATTGTTAAAGCAACGTTTTGATTATATATTCTTCACTGGGTCCACAAGAGTAGGAAAAATTGTTCATGCTGCCGCTAATAAATATTTAACGCCCATTACACTGGAATTGGGAGGCAAGAGCCCCTGTTATATTGATAGATCAGTGGAATTGCGGACGGCTGTTAAACGCATACTCTGGGGCAAATTAATTAATTGCGGTCAAACGTGCATAGCTCCTGATTATGTTTTGTGTTCCAAAGAAATAGAGAAGAAATTTGTAGCGGAAGCAAAAGACATCCTCAAAGAGTGGTATGGTGATAATATTAGAGATAGCCCTGATCTTAGCCGTATTATTAATAAAAATCATTTCGAGTAAGTAAACAATTAAGAGCACTATAGTGGGAAACTGTCCACAATTAAACACCTTACGCCACTTTGCTTAGTACAGTTATTGTGTTATATGGAAAATGATAAAAACAAAGTTTCGATTCGAATCGATTTCCAAAGAGTTCATCCTTGCGCCAAACACATGTAGATGCATCAAATCTCACAAGACGGATAGACGGACTGACTGGTAGACAAGATTAGGTCTGCTCAAAAAGTGATTAATATGAACTTAACACGATCTGTACCACAAGTGGTGTAAAGTGTAAATAAATAATTCGAGAATTTTATATTTTACAAGAATTTCATAACAACAACGTTTCCTTTTAGACGCTTGCTATGCTACATGAAGCGTGGTAAAGTAGCTATTGGCGGCAGTTATACTCCGGCTGAGCGTTTCATTGAGCCTACCATCATTGTTGATGTTAAACCAGACGATCCGGTTATGCAAGAAGAAATATTTGGACCAATTTTGCCCATTTTAAATGTAGAAAGTGCCTACGAAGCTATCAAATTTATCAATGGCAGGTACGTTGGCACATTTCTTTACAAACAATACAGGAAAAAAAGGGCTCATTACATTTGAGAGTTTAGGCAAAAGCATTTCATGTTTGATATAAATATCTTATTATGATGTCATCTTCAAAAAAAGGGAAAACATGTCCAAAACATAGACATCTATCGCATCTGTTTTGATGGTCGCCATTTCAATTCATGATTCAAGCAAATTCGTGTTGCCTAAAAACTTCATTAAGATTAAGAATTGAAAAATTCATGTTACATTGTTCTAAAACAGTAGGGTTTCTTTGAGAATTTTGAAAAAATCTGACCTAGCAGAGTGTGAAATTCATTCAGTTGTTTGTTGACAGTTCAAAAATTTTATAATTTGGAGGAACCAATATATTCACCTGTCCGTGCGAACACGGAATTATTAGACTATTTATTACATGTTCATTAATACAGAGACATTTTGGGGAAAAATTATATACAAATGATTATGGTAACAGGTAAAGACTGCAATGCGAAAAGTTTTTGGAGTCGCGAAGGTGCTGAGAGTCCAAAATGTAAAAGAAACGAAAAACGCAATCAGGAATATCCACCGTTCAATACAAGTAGGCTAAGAGTAGGCTATTTTCAAGTGCGGATACATCGGCTGTATAATGGGGACTATGGTTACCAGGATACAGTTATTTCAAAATCGATTTACTAGCGGATTTTGACTGATTAAGTCAAGATATTTTGTTTTTCAAAGATACTTTACGTTCTTTTACGGGGATTCGTCTTGTTCATATTGGGCAGTAATTGTGGTAAGTTCAGTATAATGGTGATTGATTGTAACTTTGAAATATACGGACGAAGTTTCCATTCTCCATTACGTGTCCTACGGCTAAGAAATATGTCCGTACGTGGATACGATGTCAAGATACGAATAGTTCGAGAGAACCCAACTAAAAGTCTTTTGCTGATTTATATTACACTTATAGAGTTGTTTTATGGGAAGTCTTTCCCAAAGAAGAAAAAATTAATAGTCAGAGGATCAATCTAGGCACAAAGGCGTCTACACTTCCTAAAATTATCCTCTCACTTTATTCAACCGTTTCTTTGGAGTACACATATGTTTTCCTTTACAACAAACATGACACGTTATTAATATGGTCCTATTAGCTGGTATCTGGGTGTACAAGATTTTCGTTCGTATATATATTTTTTTTTATTTGTATTGGTCAAACATTTTATCTATCATAATCATAATAAATGTTAAATATCATCCCATATCTCATATACATAGAGAAAGTCCTTTAGTGGCGTACATTTTCACCATGGAAACTGAAGTACAAAATTTATTCAAAAACGGTACTCGTTCCGGAGGTATTTTATTGAACGATACCATAATGCATTATGCTGGTAAGAAAAGAAATCAATCATACTATCTTACTGATATGTGGGCTAACGGACCGGGTGCAGGCGATAAATCGATATTGAAAATGATTTTCTAATCCTCTCATTAGAAGGTGAAGGCGTAATATTATAATTTCTGCTTTATATCTGGACTGGGAATTTTTCATAACAACTATAAATATATATATAAGAATGCATTTGCTTGTTGTATTAATCTATGTTTGTATATATTGTCTATTTTCCAATATAATTTTATGTGTTTAGGGAGAAACCGTTAGTGGTTTATGTCTTTTCCGATGTGCATAAGGTTTGTCAAGAATTTAAAGTTAACGTATCTTGTGGCGGCTTTTCGTGCAATGAAACTTTATTACACTGTGCAGGTATATACATACATGTGAACATATATTTTAATATATATATATATATATATATATACATATACATATATAGTGAAATAATTAACACTTCTAAGTGTCTTATGTCGCTTAACATGAAGCAAATGTGTGTTTCTATGTGCTTATCACTGCATTTGAGTTTTGCAGAGAAGTAGGAAAAAGATAGGCGTTTTTTGTTTTTATGTTCTGTTTTCAATAATTTCTTTAATTAAATTATAAAAAGCGAAAAAAGATGAACAAAGAATCGTTGCTTTCCACAGAGAAAAACCTTTGGCCTTGTATGTCATGAGTAATTCGAACGAAACTGTTAAATTATTCCAAACCAAAACATTCAGTGGTGGTTTTTGCAGCAACGATTTGCTTACACATTATGCAGGTACACATAACATATATGAAAAAAAAATATGATTAAGTTTTTTAAGAAAAATGTAATAAACTACTGTTCGTTTTTTTATACGCACTACTGTAGAATGAATTAAGCTACACAGGCAAAAAACACCCATTGTAAGATATCGTATAATGCATATGTCAACAATGATTGGAGTAGGTTCCTACGCTCGATCGGTGCTATGAGTCCACAAATCCTAACGAAAATTAATCAACAAACAATTAAAAAAAAAAAGAAGTAAAGAACTTATATTCGACTTGAGCCGCATCTCGCGTGCCCACCACCACTAAAATCATTGGCGCCCCAAGCTTTTATCTGTTTATTTGTTGTCATAAAAAAGTGAACAGAATAAAATTTATTCTTTACCTTTTACTTCACTAAAAGGTCTTGTTAAGAAAAATTAATCTACGACGTCGTGATGTCCACAATAATTAATTTAGAATTAACAAACTTACCTTGTCGCCTTCAACCCTCCAACTGCTTTTATTTGCTACCCATATCGCTGGTATTGCAACAAATCGTTATTTCAGAAGTAACGCATTTTTAAGCAGATCAAATATCTTCTTTTGAGGAATGTAATGTGCAAAAGAAGTTTTTCGCAAAGTAAATGAGGACAATTTCAGCCATCTATCTTCTACAATTTGTGATTAATGAGTTAAAAAAGCCCACAAAATTTTATTTGGAAAAATTGAGTTGCGGTCAGTTTGCGCTTCATTGCGAGCTTCTGGTCCGGCCAGTTTAGTCCATTTTCAATATTAACATGCGTGCAAAAACTTCCAATGTTTAAAGTCGATAACTTCAGTTTTGCGACCAGGGAAGTGGCAAGAACACACTCTACGCCGACACACACTCTGCGGACAGACACGACTTAATCAATTCAGAAATTCATGTTGGTCAAGAATATATACACTTTACAGGATCTCCGAAACTTCCTTTTGGGTGTTCCAAATATTTTGACAAACTGAGTTTACCGGCATCTTTGAAAAGTGGGGTGGTGTAAGAACGAAAAGCTCAGTATATTGTGCCAATCAAAAATTCCAGCAAATAACTTTGTGTAATGGTTTTTTTATTAATTTACGGCGTATCGCGTAGTATGTAAGAAAAAAAAAAGGGGCGCGATTGCAATTTCGATTTTGTTAATTCTATAACCTTGTTTTTACTCATGCACTGAAACTCTTCCCACCTCGATCGTCTGTGTCTGTTCATGTAATCTTGTGTTCAGCCTACAAGTCACAGGTTTTGCTATACTTTGGAGAAATTTGATGCAAGGATGAGTGCGATTCGCCCCTTTTTCGATTTCTTCCCATATAACGTGGCATTTTGAAAACTATTAGGCGAAGTGGGATAGAGCATTTAATTAATTAAAATTTAATGGTTGGCCATTGTCCGCTATAATGTTTTGACTTGTTTGCATTATAGTACATGATCTCCTTGAATTGTACATCTAGGATAATATATAAAATCAAGATCCTCTCCTATTGCTCGTAAAATAAAGTTTGTGCTTCTATTTGCTCGCAGCATATGCTAGAGGAGATGTGCTTAATGCTTCCTATATAAAAACAAGCTATTAAAATATGAGAAGCCATAGCCATATTAGCCCGAGAAGTTATTAAAGTATTTGCTTAATTATCCGCAACTTACCTTTACTGTTGATTATTATTGTTATTCTTCTTTTTCTTTTTAATTAGCAAGTTGTTTTATTAATAATTACTCCGCATTTTTTGATTTAATTTATATATATATATATATGTCTTTTTTTTTTCAATTAAATACTTTATCTAAACTTGTTTTATTTTTATACCTTTAAATGCATATGTATATATAAACTAATATTTATAATGCACACACACATGACAATGCTAATGCTATCGTAATATACGTTAAGCTGACATAATATTTTTCACATTTGAATGAGCTGACTCTAATTTATATTATTTCCTGGTGCATTTCTCTCTACCTTGCGCTGATCAAAGTGCAGCTGTACTTTTTAAGAAATATTACTAAAATCGCGCGTACACAAGCGTCCTTTAATAAGTTACAATGATTGCTTCTGCTGCTCAATGAAGTTTGCTACATATGCAGGCAGATTTGCTATAGATAGGTTTCTTTTCCATAAAGGGCTTACTTCGGCCCTTTACGATGGCACAAGTATGCTCGTATCCGAATACAGTTTCTTTCTATCTATCAAAATTAAATTGAAGGTATTTTTCTAACTTAAGATGACCTCCTTGCAATTCCTTATTCCATGAATATATACCGCCCAAGCGTATTACTTAAACTCAAACTACTCCTTCCTTTCATTCCTTTCTGATCCATCAATGAAACTTATGACTTAGGTCCAATTGTAACTAGATTATAAGATTTCCGAGTCTTTTCTTGAAATGACGGGTCACCACTTTTAAGGATGTCTGCTTTTTAAGCAAGAAGATACGGCTCATTTTTGATATGGATCTATGAAATCAGCTGAAGTCGTATGCAAATATATATGCAATAATTTTTGTGAAAAATATTAATTTATAAATTTTCTTTTAAACAAAAATAACTTTTTAACCATTTTTAGTTTTATTATTCATACTGTTTCTCTTATCATGATAAATATTTTTTAGCTGACACCTTACCATTCGGAGGTGTCGGCCTTAGCGGAATGGGCTATTATCACGGCAAGTACGGCTTTGATACTTTTGTACATAAGAAATCGTGTTTGGGAAAAAATCTTCATCCGCTTGGCGAGCGTTTGGCTTCGTAAGTGTTGTTGCGTTTAAATTCTTACATAAATATCTACTAAATAATATTTAATTTTATTTTATAGAGGACGTTATCCACCATATTCAGATCGAAAGACTAATTTCTTGAATTTTCTATTACGGAAACGACGTCCTCTGCCAAAGTTGTATTTTTCACATCTTTTGGTCTTTGGTCTGGGTATTGGCTTAACAATTTTATTCAATAACTACATGCAGGTAATTAAACGACCCGTTGCACGTACAACTCATGAAAAACTCATTCAACTTTGAACACATTAAAGGGTAAATTATTATCACGTTAATAAATTGAAAAAGGAAAAAAAACAGAAACTTAAGCAAAACAATATACAGGGTTTGCATTGAAAAAAAAAAGACCATAATATTTGTGTGCTGTTATGCGGGGGACCTCACAAAGAGAAATTCATCATTTTACCAACCTTTAAAAGACGGAATACGCAACTGCACCTTCTGGATATTACACGCATTTATACGTTTCCTTTTGTGGGCAAGTTCCCGAAAACATATTCCAAAATTTATATAAGCATTAAAGATATTCGGTGTATTGTGAAGTGATTTAGTATAACATTTCCTTATTGTGGATTGCTTTTAGTATTCTTCCTCTCCAATGTACACTCAATAAGAATCATCCTTAGCTCTGCTGTGTGTAAATTCCCGTTATCATTTAAAAACACTTGCATATATATTAAATACCTGTTCTTGTATTTAAATACCTAAAAGCGTGCACATGTATTACAAAAGAAGAAAAAAACATATTTACTTTTTGTTATGTTTATACAAAGTTTTTAATTTTTTTTTCAGGATGAGAAGAAATAAGTCATATAAAATTGCAGTTAAATAATGGTGAAAAAACATTGTTTTTATATTATTTCAATGGAAAATTTTTGTTTTCGTTTATGTAATGAATTATGGTCTAATGTTAGTGAATACTTAAATTAATAAAGAAAAAGATTTCATATATAAATGTAATGCTGTGTAAAAGGTAACTGGAAGTGTTAGACAAATTATTCTTCAGAACGTATCTCATGGCTTTCAAAATATGCGCCATCGCTTGCAACACATCTTCGCCAGCGCTTAATCCAATCGTCCATACACTTTTCATAGGCTGATTGAGGCACGGCCATCATCTCTTTCAGCGAAACATCTTTCATATCGTCAATAGACTCAATGCTTGCCCCTCGAATTGGTAACTTTAGCTTCGGAAATAGGAAAAAGTCGAATGGAGTCATGTCAGGTGAATAAAGTGCCTGTTCAATTACGTTGGTTGAGTGTTTGGCTAAGAACTCTTGCACTATAAACGCTTTATGCCATGTCTCATTATCGTGATGCAATATCCAGGAATTGTTTTTCCATAAATTTGATCGTTTCTGTCTAATGTGCTCCCGCAAATGCTTCATAATGTCTAAATAGAATTCTTTGTTCATAGCTTCTCCCTCTGGAAGAAATTGAAAATGCACCACACCGTGGTAATCGAAAAAAACTGTCAACATAATCTTGAAGTTCGATCGACTTTGACGCATCTTTTTGGCTTTCGGCTCACCACCAAGATTCGCTTGCCTGTAGACCCATGTCGACCCGCCGGTTATAATGCGTTTCATGAATGTGGGGTCAGTGGACGTTCGAGAAAGCATATCTTCAGCCATCTGCTTTCGATAGTTTTTTTGAACAAAATCCAACTCTTTCGGAACAATTCGCATTATGATCCGTCTCAAGTCTAAATGATCGGTTAGAATGTTATGAACGGTCGCACAAGATATACTTAGTTCTGAAGAAAGCTCTCTCATACCAATACGTGGATTTTCAAGCAGTAAATCCTTCATCTTCTCGATGTTCTTTTCGTTTACTGCCTTTAAAACTTGGTCAGATGTAGGCAAATCAATTATCACTTCTCGGCCTTCTTTGATTGTTTTATACCATTCATATGCCTGTGTTTTCGATACACACGAATCGCGGTAGGCATTCTGCAGCAATTTCACCGATTCGGCACATGAAACATCATTTGAAACACAAAATTTTAAGCAAACTCTTTGCTCAAGTAATTTGTCCATTACACGTCTGATGGACGACAGGGCCTAAATTGACTTGAGCTCCTTTCGTTAATTATCGATGCAAGGAAACTGTTTGGAACAACTGTCGTATAGTTCAATACCTTTCAAACACTAAGGCCTAATACAAAATATGCTTCCATTCTTCGATTTAGCTATGCAGATCAGCAGTTTGTTACAATTTTCATTTAAAAAATTTTCCGATTTCATATAAACAAATTTCATGAAGTGCTCATGGTTTATAAAAAAAAGTACCATATGTTGAGAATAGAGAGCACAGAGTTGCTTTTAATAAATTGCAACGCTTCTCATTAAAATTTAGAGAAATTTGCGTTTGATTCTATTAGCGTGGGAAAAATGCGTTCGATTCTGATAGTGTGAGAAGTTTGCTTCGAATTCTGTTAAATTTTGGATATATCTACCAACCGACAGGGAAGAAATTGCGGCGACATTTTTCACATATGTTTTAAATTAATAATTTCCGGATAGTTTTTGCGCGGACTCCACTAAATTAAGTTAGACGCCTCTAGTTTTTAAAGTGAATAAATATTTCATTATAATGACAACATCTTTGAATGTTTTACGGTTCAAATTTAATAGAATCATATAAAAAAAATTTATTCGAATCTCTACTTTTTCAAAAACGGATATATGCGCTGTTAGGGCATATCTTTCTTAGAAAAATATTAGGCAAAAAATTGTTAAATCAAAAAAGATTCCTTATTAGTGCGTGGAAATTTAAATTTAGAAATGAACAAAAACATTGTATTCGGGAAAAGCTGATTATTCGCCTAATAACATTTTTCACTCTTTTTATCAATAAGATAACAAAAAATAATAAAATTTATGCAAAATAAAAATTAGGCATTGTTTTCATGTGAAGGCATAATGACGTATTCGAATTAAAATGCCATATGGGAAAGGTTCTAAATGTGATTCGGTCCAATAAATTTTCAATATGATTCGGTTTTGAATCAAAATACTTAAATGTACCCAATATCAACGTGTATTTCCAAGACTGCGAGGTCAGTGTCAACAGCTGGGCCGATACAAACGACGTTTGAATCAAAACACTTAAATGTACCCAATATCAACGTGTATTTCCAAGACTGCGAGGTCAGTGTCAACAGCTGGGCCGATACAAACGACGACTTCAAGCCAAATTAAACATTAATGTGTGATAAGGAGAATAAGAGATAGATACGTCGCTCTAGAATTCAAAAAGTAACCAAGGCAATACAGATAAAACAAATACAACGTACAAAGATATTCTTCAATTGTTAACTACACATGAAGCTCACATGAAGCTGGAATTCCCAGTAAGTTTGATTCAGATATTATGTGTTGCAGATATTTCCCAAAAGTTGGCCGATTACTTACAGCATGTAAAAGTCGTGACGACAGCAGATATTGTCATGAATGATATCATAACGCCGTTAAGGATAGAAATCAAGCATGTGTACTCATACATAATCGAACTCAGAAGTCGCTGATATGTAATAAAGTTAATTTCTGTGTATTTATTTTAATTTATTATAAAGGGAGATGTTTTTTTTAATATAATACATATTGCTCTAAATTGCTGTGTTTTTTACAAGTCCCACACGCTCTTATATAAAAAAGCTATGACTACAACTTTAACGAACAAAAAATAAATAACCATGTAGGTGCTTCTATATTGTATTGTGATGAGCACTTTTATATATCCCGTTTCTTTCAGCGTTAATTTGACAGTATTTTCTAAATTTATTTTAAATTGAAAAATTCCGAATACTTTTTATGCATGATTTTAAATATACTCGTTGTTTATGTACTAACTCGCAAAGGAAGAAGAAGAATGTAATTCGATTTTAAAGGAAACATTGGCATCTCTGCTTTTTTTTAATAAGGAACATATTACTGAATCATTGAAATCATTGAAATATAGCGTTTACAAGGATAATCGAATATTCTTACATTCAAAAAGAAAAAAAAAAAAAAGAAGAAAAAGGAGACGACTAATTCCTAGAGATTTGAAATTTTTTGTAAATTATGGCCGATCGCGATGAATTAGTTTCACAATTCATCGAAATTAGTGGTAGCGACGAAAATGTGGCACGTTTCTATTTATCTAGTTGCAATTGGTCTTTAGAGGTACATAAAGCAGTTAAATCGTAAATAATGTACAAAAAAATTTTTTAATACTAATCTTTAATAACAAATCAAGGATGCTCTATCGAATTTTCTGGGTAATCAAGCAGATAACGAAGAGGATGTAACAACTATTGATGTAACTGGAATTACACCTGAGCAGCTGGTTGCTTCATTAGGCCAAGTTAAGACTACGAATTCCTCCGACTATTTTGGCAAAAATGTCAGCACTACAAAAGCTAAGTAAGCTGATTGAAGTTAATAAGTATTCTTCCTCCTTTTTTTTACAAATTTTTCCATTTTGAAGGTTTGCTACCCTGAAAGACATGTCGAATAAGGCTGGTGAAAATGATGAAGAAGAAGGTCAAGCATTTTATGCTGGCGGCAGTGACCGATCCGGGCAACAAGTTTTAGGGCCACCGAAGCGTAAGAATTTTCGTGAACAACTAACGGAAATGTTCCGTATAGCTCAAGAGAACATAGCAAATGTTGAGGGCTCAGGTGCTGCCAGTACTTCATCAGGAGCAAACTGGGGCAACACAGGTATACGTTTGGGCATGACTAACACTGATCATTCTGTCGTAGCACCAGCTAAAAAAGATAATGCAAATAAAAAGCCTGTGGTAGTCTTAAAATTGTGGAGTCAAGGCTTTTCAGTAGATGATGGCGAGTTACGTCACTACGACAATCCGCAGAATAAGGAATTTTTAGAAACCGTAATGAGAGGGTAAACACTGGTTAAATAATTGCTTTATCTTTAGATGAATGTAAGTGTATTGCAGGGAAATTCCCCAGGAATTGCTAGACATGGGTTGGGTAGTTAATGTAGACGTGGAGGATCATCGACAGGAGGATTTTAAAAAGCCTGCCTCTGCTGTGAAGCTGTTTAAAGGATCTGGACACGCTTTGGGAAGGTAAATACATAAACCTTTTTTTACACTTTTCCGTTTGTTGAAACGTCCGAATCATTAAAAAAACTATTTACAAAACAACCCAAATTTTAGCCCGGCTCCTATTGTTACCGAAAATACCGAAACTCCTGCAACTGCTGGAAATGATGCAAGTGATGAGTCCTCCGCCAAGGAGAAGCTTAAATTAGATAGCGCACAACCCATTACGACGCTACAGATACGTTTGGCGGATGGAACCCGCTTGGCAGCACAATTTAATCTCAATCATACAGTTGGTGATATTTTAACTTACATACAGACGTAAGTTTTTCATAATGTTATATCTCTTGTTTAAAGCTAAATTTATTTGCATGCAGAGCTCGTCCCCAGTATGCCGAACGTAACTTTATATTGGTCTCTTCCTTCCCTACGCGAGAGTTGAGTGATACTACAGAGACTATAGAAGCAGCAGGTCTTAAAAATGCTGCCTTAATGCAACGGCTCAACTAAATATAATAGCAAAAATCGCAAGAAGTTGCATAGATGAGGAATAAGTTCATCAAAATTCCATAACGAAAATTAATCACAAATTTTCTACAAGATTATAATAATAATAAAAAGAAAATTAGTTTATTTCTTTGGATACCAAAAAATATGTAAATAATGCTGCGATGAAAACATAGGAAAGAAGATAAACAAATCTCAATAATAATTTTTTTTTTTCGGAAGCGCTCTCCGAAGTTGCTTTGTAATTGTCGATCCGCTTGGTGTTAAAACAAAAAGAATTGCAGGAAATGCCAAAAGGCACGAATGGGAATTAAATGTATATTTTTAGTTCATTCTTTAGACTTTGTAAATGCTTCGTAAAGTCTTCACGTATTGAATTTCGCCAGTCGAATAAACCATCTTTACCCACATGTAAGCAAGAGCAATAATGATGGACAAAGGCGCGATTTACGGTTAACAAAGTACTGCTCGAACTTGTTAGATCTTCAGTGCTGCCGTTTAAAATATTCGGTGAAAGTCTGTATACATACGAATGATGTTTGAACTTGACTTCCGGATCGTAGAGAGTGTTATCTATTAAAAAATTATGGGTTTGATCCTTGCAAACCGCAAAGACAGGTAATTCAAACCGTTGCGCCTTACTGGTATAATGACTTAAGTATTTTAATACAGACTTCTCTTCATATAACTTGGTCGAAGGATAAAAGAATTCATCAGCTGTTAAAAGTAATGTATGGTGTGCTCGATTGGTATTGCGTAGCAAACAATCAGTTTCCACTAAACTTCTAATACGTTCAATATTGTAGGAATAGGGAAAATTAAAAGGCAGTAAATGCACTTTAATATTTAGACGTTCCAAAATTAGTAAAAGCTGCATGGATAAATCGTCGCCATTGTACACTATAAAGTCTTCTATGCCTAATGAGAAGTGATGTACGAAGAATTGCATTAATTCCCTTTCCCGACTTTCCAATGAAGTCCCATTTTTGTATGCTTGATTTACCAAATCCAAACATATGCTTATTGGTTTAGCAACATTGGGCGGCTTTTTAGACTCATTATTCGTTAATTTCAAATATCTTAGATTAATCGAATGTCCATTTGGGGTAGAACCCGCATCTGTAACTTCTGTAAACGTAACACCTTTTGGTTGACCAAAATCTCTTGTTATACGGCAATAAAAACGATATCGGGTAAATTCACTTAAGCCATCCTTTCCTTCTTTATCCAACCTTTGAAACCGAAATTTGCCTTTGTTTATCTTACTGGCTTCGTAATTTACAGAACATTTAAAATTTAGAATGGCACCGCGACGGCCAACGACTATTACAACAGCTTCACCGCCTGCCACCAATTCGTTACGTTTCCAGTATGCAGCGTATGCATGGAAATGTTGACCTATTAACTGCCAAACCGGTAATGGATGTATGAAATCCACCAGATAATGAGACGAATTATTAATATTGTCTATACGGCGAAGGATAGCTGCATCCTTCCGTCCAAAAAAGTTAATAACGTGTAAAACATCTTTAAGACGATTGTTTTCGGTTTTATACATTAATAAAATACCGACACTTATGCAAGAAATTATTAATAACAATAACTGCTGATATTTACGCATATTCTCGAGAATCTTTCAAATAAAATTATTTTAAACAAAACTATTTTCAATTCATTGTTTACAACGCTAAAGCCATTTTTGCAGACAAGTTACGTCCCTTGCATGATTGCCATAGCCCAGAATAACAAATGATTATTTTCCATTCCACTCATTCCAACCCTGCCCGACTTTGTACACAATTATGTAAATTGAACAGCATAAATGAATAGCATTAATTTACACTAATTGCAATTTTTTATTTAATGTTTGATGTGTTGTTTCTCTTTCGAAATTGCTGTGTGTTATCATAGTTCTTTCTACAGTTTCTTTGGCCTACGCGCCTCATTACATACATCTTTTCTGCATCTAGGATCTTGCTGAAGGCTGTGTTTATTTTCTCTTTTTCCAAGACTTAAATACAACTTTAGTTATCTAACAGCAACAACAATTAAGTTACCTCCAAAAAGAAATAATCTCTAGATTAGTGATCAAATGAAGTAATTCGATTTTGCAGATGTAATCACCTTTAACGTCAATTAATAATTCATAGGTCGGACATATTAAGACATTCCATTGTTTGCGTTAACAGGATTGTGAACGCACAAAACGAAAAAACGCGAGAGTAGCACGTTGACATTAATTTTGTGCCTTATTTTAGATTTAGATTTCCAGAGAGAAAAAATAACCTCTTTTTTTTGAAGGACTAGAATCTTCTCTCTAAAAAAAAGAATCGTCTAAATATTCTTGACCTTGAAGTATAGTATCGTTATGCTTTTTATTTCAAATATTTTCTGGACTATTTCAAAGTGACAAAGCGGAAAATAGCACTATGAATACTCAAAATACCGAATATGGTCGGGAAAGTGGAAAGTGCCCTAATCCTTATATTTGCATGTGTAAAAGCCTGTGTATTAAAAACTTTTTTGTACAGATTGAGGGGAATGGCTCTATTTTTGTGCATACAAAACTAGCGAACGCTTCCTTGTTTATGTTTTAAAGTGCATTCTTCAATTTCTCCCACGAATATATTTTATGGTACTTTTCTTTTACAACTGAGCCGAGTTTTATAGGCAATGACAACGAAACGTTATATTATCCCCAGATTGTGGACAAATTGCGACTTCTCGGAATTTTCACAAAATTATTGAATTATTACATTTATTATGGATTTAGTTTTAATTATTCAAGCCACTTTCATTGTTTATTCATACCACAAAAACTCTTTTTTTTGTATACATTGATCCTTTCACATTTCTGTTGACAAATTTCCCTCAAAAATTGCGAGAAACTGCATAAACAGTTCATCTGTTAAATTCTTGCAACTTCTTGTCAAAATATAACGGCAAGCATTCATCTTGTTTAGACCGGTCTTCATTAGGCCGGCGTGCAAATCAAACAAAAAGACTAAATGATCAGGATATCGATTTAAATTGTCGGCCATAGTCAGCAGCTTGTTTCTATCCCCTTGTATGCCAAAATAGAAGCAAAATAAGGGGAAGAATTTTTTGAACAATTGTTCATTATTATACATGAACTTGTACGCCATCCTGAGCTCATATTTAGGAAGGTTTTTTAAAATATCAATTTGTCGCTCGGATATTGGATGGCACGACATCGGAGTACAACCATTGTTAAGGAGCTCAAAAACTTTACATACAGAAATATAATGCTGCCTGTAATTTAAATCCTACACAACACGAAATGATTAAAAAATAATCATAGAGCAATTGTTGATGCAATACTTACGTGATTATAGAGAGGAGCTTGTTGTTGTTGTTGCTGTGACATTGTGTTCAAGTTTCAAGTTTCTATAAAAATATCGCTTTTTGACCGATTTTAAGGAGTATTTCTGTTGCAGTTTCAGATAAACAGTAATTTAATTCTTTATGAAAAGAACACTGAACTCTGACTTAAGTTTGATAAGAGTAAAATGCAGTCTATAAATCATTTAGAAAAAGAGTTCAATGTAAAAAGTGTTAAAACTTCACACACTTACTTCGCTCAACTCGTAAGAAAGTTCTTCTACTTCGCACGAAAAACCGTTAGTTAGTTTTTTTATTTTTGGAAATGACAACCAAGTGCCAAAACACCACGATGTTGTCAGGAAGCGTAGAAGAAGAAGAACAAATTTATGCATTTGAAATAATGTCGCGAATTTTTTGTTAAACCTCTGATTTTGCTGTCAAATATCCGGGTATAGGATTCTGCAATATTAAATGTTTTGTATTAAAAGGTCGAATCACTCAATTGCTCGATTGCGTCAGATGTGATAAAAAGAGAAAGTTCACCTCTCCGTTCCAACAGAGTGTCCCAACTTTAGTTTAGTAAGTTTAGCTTGTTTACGAACGTTATTCACATTTGTAAATTTCTCTTTCTATTCTCCTTTTAAATATAAAAATATAGGCCGGCATATGTATGTTTTCATGTCTCTTTTGATCATCTCATCATTTATTATATTATTTATTTTTTTTTATTATTATAATTATCTTATTATCTTATAATGTTATTATTATCTTACTAGATAATAATGGCTATGTCAGCCGAAGAAAATAAAATGCGCAATTGGGTATTAGCAGCACATACGTAAGCTAAAATCGCCACCATCGCACTTGACTAAACCCATAATGATTATCATTTTTATTTTGTCGAACTTATGAGCGTTTATATTTACCGCTCCTAGCGAAAGACCGGCTTGAGCAATTACAGACTTATCTACCACTCCTGCACTCAAATGTAATCCCAAAAATTGTTCCTTAGCCAATGCAAGAAGAGAAAAGGACAGCTTGGGAGCAACTTGTAGCGGAGTTATACCAAAACATCGATGTGGAAGTGCCGATAAGGTCAGCGAAGGAAAAACTACGCGAGATTAAAAAGTCTTTGAAGAAGCAAGAAAGAGGCATGGCAACTAATCAATCGTCTCTATGGATGTACAAGTTTTTGCGCAAGGAGATGGGTCTAATGTACACTTAAACGAAATTCAAAGCATAGGAAAACCAGGATCTACCAATTAAGATGGCATTATCGGTGTCGGGTGACGACACTGAGCATGCAGAAACGGATTTTTTTAGGATTTGAAGTAGAACTGGGGGATAATAACCTAAAGATAGGTAACCTAATTAATAGTAGAATACCATATGTCAAAAAGTCGCTACTGCACCATTAAAACCTTATCCAATACGAACGCGTGCGCTGAATTCAACTGACAAATTCATGCGATTCTGTTTGACAATCGAATCAAACGGTCTACTTGTGCTACTCCACAACCGTTTTAAAAAAAAAAAATGAAAATTAAATAATTAAAATAAAACGAATTTTGTATAAATTTATAAAAGATCTTAAATAAATAAAAATAAGTATATATTTCCTTGCTCCTTACCTTTGCGCTTTTATTTTATAATATCTCTTTTTTTATTTTCTATTCTTTATTTCTGCTTTACAAATACTGCAAATAACTATTTGCGGCACTGAATTCCTATGGAGTTGAAGTTTTGTACTTTTCCCTTTACTTTCGCAGCAGTTGCTATTAAAAAAACAGCGTAAGGGTACAGCTTCACCTTCGGCTATGGTTTGCGGCAAGTTTTTCCCCTTAGTTTCTGGTAAAAACAGACTGGCCAGACCGCCTACTATCAACAACACACCCATTACAATTAAAGGCAATACCAACATCTGTTGTCCCATATGATTTATAATGGGAATAATTATTGGTCCAATCATAGCAATAACGGAGCTGAAACTCATACCCAAACCTCTTACCACGGTAGGATAAATTTCTGAGGCTAATAAAGGTAAGACGACAAAAGCTGATGATATACCCATTTTACCGATACAGTAAAGAATCAACATTACATTCGCCTCTTGGCTGTAGAGGAACGTGGCCACACATGCCACGCCACCCATTAACATAGAAATGCATAAAATCCAGCGGCGGCCAAAATAGCTTAAGCCCGGCCATAGTAAAAGATATGTGGGCAGTTCCACAACGCCAGCGAGGAAGAAGTTCCATATCTCATCACCTCCTAAAGCGGGAGCATAATAACTGAGACCAACGTATACACTGGTGTTGGCAAACCATATCAACGTGATGATCAAAGTTTTATGCCGCATATTCTTGGTTCGAAATAAATCCAAAAGTCCAAATGTGGATGATGAGGAATCTGCGCTTTTTATCGATTGCGATTTTTGGAAACGTTCAGCCAAAGTGTTGGCGAAATTGCTAGGTAACGGAACGCCATTAACTCGAGCCATGGATTTTAAAATTTTAGCAGCTCTTTCAGGTTGATTAACGGCCAGCAGCCAACGTGGTGATTCCGGTAGGACAAAAAAACAGGAAAATAATAATAATAAAGGTAAAGAGACTGCCAAAGATAAATAACGCCAATCACGTATAAGATACACGACGCCAGCTAGTAAAACCAGTCCGCACGAATAAGCGATATTGCTGACTATAGTGCAAAAGACTCTTTTCTCGGGATCGACCATTTCAATTGCTGAAAGAGTTCAAAGAGGATTTTGTAATTTTAAAAAAATATCAAGAGCTTGCCTTACCTAACACGTAAGGGCTAGCTAAAATCGCAGGCACTGTAAGACCAACCACGAAACGTAAGCCTAACCACGAGTTAAAGTCCCAGGCAAAGGCGCTAGCGGCACAGGCAACTACCTCCAACAACAGATAGGCGTAAAAACTCGGACGCCTTCCCCACATGTCTTGCAAGTAACCAAATATGTAATTACCAATCAAGCCACCCACTCCGAACACTACCAAGGCCAAGGTAACCAAATAGTTTTGTTCACACACCAAATTCCACTGAGAAGTAATGAGAAACAAGTAAAAACATTAAACGGGAACACGCCCACAATTAAATACACCACTAGTCTACTTTAGTTAATTCAGTTGTTCATATAACGGCTTTTCAAAATAAAGTCTTACGAAGTGATCGAAAAAGCGATCCGATCTGAACCATTTTCAAAAACTCTCGTCCTTGGGCCAAAACGTTTCAGCGTACCAAATTTCATGAAAATATCTTAAAAATTACGGCCTATAAGTTGACTACAAGACGAACGGGCGGGCAGATAAACTTAGATCGATTCAGAAAGTGTTCCAGTATAACAAAACGCGGATCTATTTCAAGCCTTTCCGGGTGTCGCATGCATCCATACAAATATAATATATCCTTGTATCACGAGTGATGTAGGGGTGCAAAAAAAAAGAATTTCCCACAAAAATGTCGAAAAGCAAAGGAATTAATTAAATATAAAACTTTAATTTATTCACCCACCTCCGCCACTACAGTACTAGGATACTGAGAACGATCGTAATGCCAACCATGTTGACATTTCTCCGTCTCGGACTTTTTCGGACTACCGATATGCCACACCTTGTCGTTCTGCAACTCATAGGGTGTGCGATATTCCAAATAACGTACAATGTCCGAATAGTTACGTTTGTACATTTCACAGGACGCGTAATCCAAAAATTGTTGCTGTTCACTGATTATGGGAATGCTGAGATTTAATACTAAATCCATATAGTCACGAAGCCATGGTTCCAATTCGGGTATCCGGCACCAATGACGTGGTGTTGCTGCTATAAAGAGTTGACTAAAACTATTTATAATTCCCGCAAAAATCTCGAAGAAACTTTCTTCAAGCACTTACCTATACGCATGAAAGGCGCACGGAAGAGCGGCCGGCAATAGAACAAAACAAATTATAATTTTTTGATAGGGACCAAAGGAACCGACATCCTTAAGTACATCATCAAAATCCATAGCAATGAAAATGTTATTTTATTTAATTTTATACCCAATAATAGCCAATCAACCCAACACCTCATTCAACTTGGAATGTGAACGAGTCAATCGTGCAACATTCAATGCTGAGAAAACACTTAATAATAAAATCAAAAATAAATCTTTGCAGTTTACCATCAATTGTAGCAAAATGAAGGAAATTCACAGAGACTCACTTTAGATCCAAATACTGTGTGCGTATATACGTTTATAAGTCTGTCTATGACATTCAATTGATTATAATTGCATTATAAGGTTGGAACAAGCATTTAATTAATTACCAACCACTGGGCACGAAGGCCTCCCTCATCATAGGCAATTTAAAATGTGGAAAAACTTAAGAAATGAAAGAAAATCTCAAGTCGAATTTCGGATATCCGCTACTTAAAGTTCAAAATGCATGGCTAAGAAGACAACACATCATAATAATAATCCCGTGAGCATTTTTTGTAAAGTGGTTTTCGACTCAGCTCGGAGGTATTCGTTCAGATGTATCTCTGAAACATTGCAAAGAGCTCTTTAATTTAGAATGTGGATAAAATTAAGATATAAGAGGAAACTTTAGGTAGAATCTTGGCTATCCGCTACTTGCAATTCAAAATATCGTTCAGCTGGGTTCATATGTTGATGCATTTTCCTGCTTAAGTGCGAAGAAAACATATCGTAACAGTAACTTTGAGAACATTTTCTATAAGGCGGCTATTGCTCGGCTCGAAGATATTATTTCGGATATATCCTCAAAACATTACAGAAGGTTTCTAGTGTAGAAAACCTTAAGCCGAATTTTGGTTATCCCCTACTTGAGATTGAAAATGTCATTCAACTTGCGTGACAGAGAAGACAACATGACGTTATAATAATTCCAAGAGCACCAAGAGAAAAATGTTTTTAACTCAGTTTGGAAATATTCTTTCTGATACATTTCTGAAACATTACGGAGAGCCCTTTACCTTACAAATAATGAGGAAAACGTTAAGAATGTACAATTCATGTCGTCCCACGAATTAAAATGTCAGGGAGGGAACTTTACCTGATACGGTATATCATAATAATAATAATCATCTATCCAATTCTTTATATCCAAACATCAATTTAAAATATTTCCGACTCTCATTAGTTTTCAATAAACTGCTCTCAACACCTGGAGATGGTAATAATCTAGTTCATCGAATTTTGCAATTGTAATAACAGATGATACCGTGCCTTGGCTGAAGAAAACTCTCAGAAAGCAGTGATTAAAAAACTTTTATAGGCCTGAGAAACAATTTTTGATACATAGTACCTCAACTTTGTACTTTGTAACTATAGAATATTTTACTAGCTGCGTGCGTGTCAGTTGGATCGGCTCAATTTTGACTGTGATCTTACCAAGCCCTTAAATCTGCGTATAACGGGTTTTAAGTAAATTTTATTGAATAATTATAATTTAAAATATTTGTCTACGTTAGATGGATTTGAAGATGGTTCAAGTCCATTTCTTCTTTAAACCTTTAAATGACCTTCATACGTATGTATGTGTTTAGATAGTTTCAGACCAATACCTCCTACAGCTTGCCTCTTTATTTTTGCTTCCTTTTTATTTATGCCTATGAACTAATCGCGTACATGTCACCTATGTCAAGCTTTAGCTTCCTAGCGGAATTTTTCCAATCGTTAACATTCTTAAGCGAGAGAAAGATCATAGTCATAGCTTTACATTGTTCAAAAAATATGGTTTCTTATACGTGTCACAAACGTAAGCACAAATCTAGGATGCTATCATATTGCTTGATGCTGGATATAAAAAAAGACACTGGATTTTATAGATGAAATCTATGTAATTTTTGTGCAAATTGAAAGTATTTTCAACGGAACCCTGGAAAAGCTGGCTTATAAAATATATAGCACGTTTCCACTTACTTAAGCAGAGCGAATGTCTGTAACTACGCTACGATCATGACAATTAAAATTTTTGCAAGCATTAATTAGAGATGAACGTTCATTAGTGTTACTCATAATCTTTCCAAACTTTGAAGAAAATCTTAGAGCCTTGATATAATGTACATATAATGTATAATCATTCGTTGTAGACATCCATGTCATTGACAGTCGATCTTTTTGTTTCCAATATTCTCGATGTTATAAAAATTTAGTTTATAATCTGTACACGCAAACATACATACATGCACACCTGCATACATACACACGCAAACGTTTTCATCTATGCACTTGATTCAGTTTGATCCCATTCAGTAGTTAGTTGGCGTGATTTTCCGATAAGTAACTTTTGCTTCTCAAATGGAAAGAATTGAATAAATTTGCTCAGTTATGTACAATTTAGAGCGAACCCCGATTTGAAATTCATCATAGTAGGCGGACAAAGGAGGCCTCCTTTCAAATGTGACAGAGTTGTAATTTTTTAACGCAATTTCTATAAATTTGAATAATTTGACGGCTTATGCCGGCTATATGCATGTCCTTATCGGGATCTTCACATAACCAAGACCATATGTGGGGTATCGTACAGATCTGCTTTCGGCACATCACGTCCACCCGGTTGGTTAGGTAAGCTTTGACTGTCCGTTGTTCTTCATTAATGACAATCAAAACATGTGTGTTCTTTTTTCTTAATTGTGTGTCTGGCGAACGGATTAATCTCTGCATTACTGCGGAATAAGGTAGCTTCCCGCGAGACGTGTCGGCAGTTTAAAGCAACCTCTGTTTTGGCAAATCTAGGTCAATCTTTAGGTTTCTCTAGACGTCAGATTACAGACAAGTTGACATTTTCTTGCCTTCTTAACAGTTTACAATCCACGTGTCCTGCTTTCCCTTCTCCAGTTGGGGGCAAGCTTCAGGAGTTAGTTTAAAGAAATTTGTAATTAATTAAATGGACGTTCGTTTTTGCTGTTGAATTCGTTTTCTTTATTATCGTTTAGAAATTGACGGAGTTTTATGTTACGTTCTTAGGTTATCGGGTCTGGGACAAGAAGGATTTGAGAATGTGAGTGTCGACTAACTTCTTCGGAGCTATTATCGCATTCTGGGTTGTAGAAAAAAAACCCTCGAAAAAGCGACAGGTTCAAAGGTGGGTAAAAAAGTCTCGCACTGTAAAGCTCAACCAACATAAGCGCTTAAGAGATAGAAGTATTAGATGTGTAAATAAATTGCCGCTGTTTTTTGATAAAAATAAACTTCTTATAAATTTTAATAATTGAAGTATTCAGCGTCATTATATAATAAAAGCAAATATTGATTGATAATTTGGGAAAAGTATAATAAAATCTTATAATAAGAGCCAATATTGATTGATCATTTTTTGCCATTGTAAGCGGCTTTAAAACTCCCTGTGAAATTTATGAGAACAAATATGAGTGGGAAACCGACGATCCCACTTGTACGACACAACTAATCCAAACTAATGATTTACCGCCTTGAGAATGCATAACAGCTCTTATGCTCAGTTTAATGTATCTCATTAAACCAATCAGTAGCATCCATATAATTATCTATGAAAAGTAAGGAAAAATTAACAGTTTTATAAGTTTTTCAAATAACTTTTAATTCGATTGAGTATAACTTCGAAAATACTAAGGCCACAACTTACATCTTTTAACCATAAATGCTTAGTTTAATCGTGTAATTCTTGCCATACCGTACCATCTACTTGAATAAGATTATATGTAAATGAATCGGTGCTCACATTATTGTATAAACAGTGATCTTGTAAATGATCAGCATTTCCTACCAAAATTTGACGAATAGCATCAAAATCCAACATTAATACTATCGGTTTTAGTTAGGCGTAAAATCCGATAAATGGTGCTTGTGCACTCTAGAGGATGTAGAAACGTCGTAAAACATCAGCTATATGCAGCTTACTTCCAACAGTTGGGTTTCGCATGCAATATACCGCGATATTTCCAATAACTGAAAGCTGCTTTCACTATTAAATAGAGAATTGTCGAACCCAAAAGGGTGAATATAAAAATTTGTGGCAAATTCTTTATTAGTTTCTTTTAGAATTATTATCTATTTATATATCTTTAGGCTTTAACAAAGAAGCACCTTATAAGTATACTTACCTTTCATTTCCCTTTTTTTGGAAACAAACTTCTACTGTCGGCTGCTGCGCTTGTTGAACGCTTCAACGATTAGGTGGCAGGCATATTTAATTTACTCGTTTTGATTCGGTTTTCATTACAATTCGTAAAGTGATAATTCCTTTCCTTCTATTTACATTCTGTTAATTCTTGGCGGTATTTCATATTATTGTAAACATCGATGTCAAGAAATATCATTTCTTTCAATGTCTTATAACCAATCATGGAAGTGAAGCGGGTTAAAAGGAACACCGGCATTTTCAATTAAGACGATGTATCGTCATATTTATAGAACTTTAGCTCTAACATGCGCTGACATATCGTTCATGTGCATCAGTAAATTTTTGTAAAGGGGCATTACATTAAATTGTAAAATTATACCAGAAATTTACTGCGTTTAACGTTCTAATCAGGATATTCGCTACACCTTATAATGACAATTTATTCGCTGCTATGATCTGGTGGCGACTCATCTTGTGTCTTAATCTGAAATTAAATAGAAATAAATAATTAAGTTATAAATGACAATCAGTAAAGATAAATTGAAACTCACCATCGGAATACAGCAAATATTGCGAGGAAGGGGGAGTTCGGCAGTTCTGTTAAATTATTAATAACAATAATTGGTGATATTTACGCATACTGTGGGGAATCTTTCAAATAAAAATGTATATACAAAAAAATTTTTCAATTCATTGTTTACGCGGAGGACTCTGCAGTGCGGAAGACTCTGACGCACGGAGGAGCTGCAGTGCTGAGGACTCTGACGCACGGAGGAGCTGACGTGCTGAGGTCTCTGACGCACGGA